ACATATTTCTCAATCCTAATATTTTATTGCTTTCTCATGATTTCCATCCCACCCTCCCTTCCCTTTATTTAAGGCTAATGCAGTGTGTGTAATATAAGAAAATTCTCTCACACATTCTTCAGTCAGCCTTTGCATGTTCTGGAGAGAAACCACTGATTTTTCACCATTTTGCTTTCTAAAAATAAGGATTACTTTAGAAAAAAATGTTATCCAACAGGCACTATTATAGATTTTCCTTTAGAAGGAACTATACTCTGCTTTGAGAGAAGAGTTCTTAGGATGGTCCCATCCAAAATTCTTATCTAGTCATATGGTGTAGCTTGTTTCTACCAGAACATTTCAAAATAAGCTTTAGAAGCACTCCTAAAGCTACTAATCACAGCTTTCAATGCATTAAGACTAGATATGATTTGCTTTCCAATCTGAAAGCAAAATGCACATCCGCCAATTAAAAGAAAGAGTAACACAACTATGTCCTTGAACATTTTTCATTCTCCAGGGAACTGGAATATAACAGTTGTTCACTAATTATTCATGTAATGTTGCAGTTTTCTGTAGCACAGCTATTAATCTGTGCCCTGTAAAAAGTAAAATTAAGTTTCAATAGAAGAGAATATATGAGCTCAGAGTTGAACTGTGGGGTTCTTGATGCTCTCTGAGATCGGCTGTTTGCTTGCAGACATTTCATTACCTGACTAGGTAACATCATCAGTGCTAGTGAGTGTGGAATTTACTCTCTGTTTATATACAGTAGCTTGCCCTGCCAGTGTTGGTGGGGGTGTGGTTTTCTCCTTGGTAGTTCCTTGATTAGGGTATTGTTTTCTGTTTGATTGTTTGCCTCGTGTGAGATCGGCTGTTTGCTTGCAGACATTTCATTACCTGACTAGGTAACATCATCAGTGCTAGTGAGTGTGGAATTTACTCTCTGTTTATATACAGTAGCTTGCCCTGCCAGTGTTGGTGGGGGTGTGGTTTTCTCCTTGGTAGTTCCTTGATTAGGGTATTGTTTTCTGTTTGATTGTTTGCCTCGTGTTAAACACTGCTTATCTGGATATTGGCTGCTGGAGAGGATGTGTTCTGGTCTTTTTGTTTCCTTCTTAGCTTTTTTATTGTCTCTTTTGAATCTTGTGTAAATGTGGTTTATCTCTGTGTGTCTATTGATGGCTAATTTGTCTGAATGCTAAGCTTCCAGGAATTCCCTAGCTTTTTTGGATTTAGCTTGGTCTAGGATGCTCACAGTTTCCTAGTTAGAACTATGGTTGTGCATGTCCATGTGTTGTGAGATTAAGGAGTTTTCATCATGTCTTCTGACTGCTAGTCTTCTGCCTGTTTGTCCTACATAGTGGCTGCTACAGTCCTTGTTAAGGAACTGTAAAAAGGAAACAAAAAGACCAGAACACATCCTCTCCAGCAGCCAACACCCAGATAAGCAGGGTTTAACATCAGACAAACAATCAAGCAGAAAATAATACCCTAATCAAGGAACTACCAAGGAGAAAACCACACTACCAACACTGCCAGGGCAAGCTACTGTATATAAATAGGGAGCATTCCCCCCCCACACATACATTAGCAGTGATGATGTTACCTAGTCAGGTACTGAAACATCTGCAAGGAAACCAATCAAGCTCAGAGAGCACCAAGGACTCTACCCTATATTTAAGTCTTTGTATCCCCAGCATAAATATTGAGGTTAACTGTTCTTTCATCCAATAGCCAAATGGGGTCCCTTGGTAATGGAACTCTCTATTTTTGCCCCAAAGGAATCCATTTGTTATCTGTTACATTTTCCAGTTGCTATCACTACTATTTTTCCCCTAAGCATTATGCCCTACATCCTAATGGTGAAGTCTGTCATCATTTCAATCTTTTCCGGTTAACTGGAGGGGAGGGCAGGTTACTAATCTTTGCATGCTTCACAATACAAGGAAAATATCTATGAAGACAACTGAATTCTTCATATTACCTTGTAAGAAATAAAGTATGTAGCCCAACCAAATGTAGTTACTCAGAAATACTGTAGGTTCAACTGAGTTCAAGGGAACTTGCATCCCAGCAAACATGATTCTAGCCTTTGTAGAAAAAAGCCATTAAATAATAGTTTTGCTTACTGTTAAAATGAAGATGGCATTACAAATATTTTCATTCAGAAATTCCAAAAGTGCATATTGTGCAGCTGTTGAGAAGCTCTTTCATATTTTGAGCAGCAGAAACTTCATAGAAGAAACAACTTGGAATCACCAGGGTCTATAGATTAACTCTGGAAGCATCTTAACACCAAAGCCAAGAAACCAAGAGGCTAGCTCTTTTTGAATTCTATACGTAATGGAGAGTTGTTCTTAACAGTAATGGCAATTGATTTTTATGGCTTTTGACTAAAGGAAACTGAGGTATATCTCTGTCTAAAGATGCCAAAACAAAAACCCAACTACAAAATTATATCATAGAGAATTGCACATAATAAAAAGTCCATCCAGAATAGTGGCAACAGAAGGCATTAAATTACTGACAAATTTGTTCCTCCAAATTTGTTATCAATGTGAAAATTATACATTTCAATCAACACTAGCTCTTCATTGCGATAACCTTGTACATGTTGCCTCTATCTATCTAGAAACTTTAGCATTTCCTAGCTGGACTCCTTGCAAAGGTAGAAGGCGTGACTGCTCTTCTGGATAGCTGCCTTCAAGATGTACTCAGCTGCAGGGGGCCTTTGACAAACAACATGCACATTTTAACTCCATGCACATAGAAGAAATCCAGCTAGTAGTGGAAGCAGGTTCGCCATCAATAGCCATAGGGTTATTACCATGCTGGGAGAACAAGAACACAAATCTAAAATAGAAAAAAAATAATACAAACACAAGAAAAATAGTAATTCTACAGATGCTTTTCATGTACTTTGGAGAGCACTTAAAATACTTACTCGCTAACTCCCGCCCCTCAAAGAGAGCTAGAAATTGAGATGCTTCAGGAATCTAGGAATTAATTTACCAAATGAAAGACAATGAGAAAATCATAATAGATTGTTTGTGTGAATGCATCTAAACAGAAATGTTTAGAGCAATGAAGAATAGCCTGTATAGTTCTTATCCTCAGCCTACGTGATTGAAACCTTATATAGTAAGGTTGAAGCTATTTAAAATCAGAAATTGTCGGGCTCTGCCCAAGTATAACAAGGAAACAATCCAACCAAGTTCAGTTCCTTTATTGCTTACACCATATAAACAAAATCTTGCCAGACTAAATCTGTACTACTGCAACTAATGGATATACCCCGGGAGATTCTAGGGAGTGGCTATTCTAAATCTATTATACTTCCCTTGTTCCTGCTCCCAACTCTGTTGTCTCTTGTCTCTCTGCCCTTCTTGGAATGTGCCCCCTCCTTCCTGAGAACCTTGCTCTTTTCTGCAATCCACCACATCACCCCCCGTCTTCATAGATACATTCCACAACAGAAATAAAATAGAATTAAATGGAGCAATTATACATGTTTTATATTGCTTTTACTTACCAATAGGTGCAACTCTTGTTAAATTAGCAACCAGAGGGGGATCTTGCTCAGGTGGACAGAAATCACAGAAATCCAAGCATGCTGGGCAAATTAGATTCCCAATATGTACCCATCCATTCATCTGAATATTCACTGTGAGAATTTGACCTGAGTGACTACACAAATATGCCATGTCCTTGACCCAAACAGTCAGCCCACGGGGAGAGCAAGAAACCTTTGGAATAAAACCAAATTTGTTATGTTTACAAAGTAGACTGCACAGAGAAGCTATTTCATTACTGCAGCTGTTTTTGAACCTTTCATGATGTATTTGGTTTCCAATCTCATTGTATCAAAAAAAAAAGAAAGATGCAAACTGTATCGGTGCTTTCCAAATAATTACTTCTAAGAACAATGATAAATCTGTTCTGTCTTTTCACCTTTGTACTACTAATTACTTTTAGATCCTTACATAAAGTTTGATGATCCAAACACATGATATCTCCACATGCATTTGGTAAAATGACTCTGAAGGTTCAATGACTATGTAAATCTGTGTGAGAAAAAATCTTTTACAAGTTAGTTAAATAGTAATAGTACAGCTTTTCCTTCAGCATTCAGAGAAAAGTCTAGTCATGTAACACTTGCATCAATATAGAAAACATACAACAAATAATTCAAAAATAAATAATCTAATTATTTTAATATAACACAGTAATACAAAATGCAAAGTAAAATTAAAATGTTTTGCAGTTACCTGATAACACCCACTACCCCAATCAGGATAGCTCAGTTTCTTTCTGCACTGTTCCATAACAAAAGCTGACTTCTGAATGAGGCAAATGGAATTTGGCCCATATTTCTCTGCACCATAGTTTCTGAAAGGATCTACAAAAAACAAATACAGTTTTCTGCTAAAAGCTATCAGATTATAGAGACAACAACATTATCAGATATTACTAGGATATTTACATCATAAGCAGAGCTGGCAGTAAATTATTTTTCTAACTTGTTCACCAAATTTATTTGTCATTTGTTCAGTGTGTATGGCTGTGTATGGCTAGGCAGGCAACTGTGAAATGTGATATTTTGAAGAATGCCTGCATGATTTGTCACTGATACACAGAGCAAGGGCAAGTTTAAAATTAATGGCATTATTGTTATTAAAGCAATTATATACCTGTGATGCACCATATGTTCAGCATGGGCAGGCATTTATTTCTATGTAATTATGATCGACAGTCATTGTTATGTTCTCTTTGTAATACTTGCACTAACTGATAAATCAAGTGTCCTAGCAAATGAGCAAGCAATATATAAGCATCCAAGTGGAGATTATAATTGCATTTATTTAACTTCTAATCAGAAGACACCAAGAAGACATATTGTTTTCTGTAGCACCTTTATATAAAAGAATTTAAATAACAGCAGACTGATATCAGAGCAATGCTATATTCAAGTTATGCTATCTATGGTGCCAAAAGGATTTGACAGAAGCCCAGCTATGATGACAGAATGTGAGATAACCCTAGATCTAATGACAGAATAGCTGTTCCATCAGGAAACATATATGAATAGCGGTATGTACAAAACAGGGAAAATGTTTCATTTTGAAACCCGTAACAAATCACAGCACATTCTGTACTGTTTGGGATCCGCTGTAATTTGGTAGAACTGGAACATTTTGGTTGTTCTGGGTTTTGGATGAAATAAAATCTGGACAAGGCCATACAGACCAAGGCTGGTGGTTGTTGCTCTTTCTCTCCCTCCACAGCTCCCAGCAAGGCACATTCCACTGGCCCACCCTTCTTCCCTTTAGCCACTACTGAGGTCTCAGCATGGCTGTTTCCCATAGCAAATCAGCCTTGATTGGTTCTGTGCACAGACCAAAACATCCGATTGGCTATTTGATTCAGGGACAGGTCACCCAAATCCAGCTGTTCTACCCACACAATATTTCATGCATGGAAAATTTTGCACTTCCCTCCTTGTGGAATGGTTAGGACAGGGGGAAGTTGCATGCAAAGCAGCACAGGGAAAAGCACATTTCTGCCAAATCCTAAACATTTCAGATACAGTATTGGTAAAAGAAATCTCAATTTATGTTTCAGGGAAGGGAAAGAAATTAAAATAGCAAGTCCCCCAAAGATTTGTCCTTTATCTCCACAATAAAGGATATAACAGCCACCATGCACTGACCACATACCAAGACTATTACAACTCAAATAGCACATTCAGCTGAGGTTCTTGCTCTCTCTTAGCTCTAAGGTTTCCTTCAGAGTGACCTGGGACCACCTTGCATATCATGTTAAATTTGAGCCAAGCTTATACTGCCGGATATGATCAAAGGTGGGATCAAATGCAAAGCCAACTGACCTGGTTGATTTTCCAGTATCCGACAATCTGAACTGCGCTGAAATTCACCGCTTAAATGCCAACTAAATTCCTGACTAAAAGGACAGTAGTCAGCAATTTCAACTGACCCACCATAATAAGGCAAATCTTCTGGCAACACGCCATACAGACTATCAAAGTACTGTAAAAAGAAGAGTTAAATAAACAACAACAGCTTCTGACAGTAACTGTATCTTTATTACCAATGGAGAAATCATATTCACATATGACAGCTTAAAATTAAAGAAAACTAGATAACTTAACCGCAATTATTACTAGAATGAAATCTGTCTCAGTATGTGCGTTTTGGTAATAACAGTTGTGATAAATACATTGTGTTGTGACTTTAAAAAATGCAAGTTTTTAAAAAATACACAAAAAATGAACAAAAAGATTTAAAAAATTCAATATACACCCATCCAACAAATACATTGTTATATCACCAAAACAGAAAAAGAAAAAGAAACAAAGGGACAAACAAAATCCCTAACTGACATGTTGAATTGATAAATGTATTTAACAACAATATACCAAATTACACATAAAGATTTCTCTGTTCTTGTAAAATATTATGTAATCTATGCCAAAGGGAAATATATTGTGTCATATTTTGATTAGCTGAAAAAATGGACTTTTTAGAAATGGGTGAGTTACGTATTTGTGTTGTGACATAAAAGCTTGTGCTGTTGCAATGTGCTATGCTTAGGAAGTGACATGTAATTTGTTACTGTCATTTCATTAAAAAGTTTTCAAGAAAATTTCAGAAGTATAACATTAAATCTACATGTAGTAGTACAATGAAAAGTATAGTTTTATAATACTGTACAGTGCTCATGTTCAGTTTGCCCAGTCTCTATCTTTTCTATGCCTACATATTGTGAAATACATCTATACTATGCTACTTCCAGCAATAATGAATGTTTTAGCAAGCTCATTATGCCTGTGGTTCACCTATGGCAGGGGTGGACAGCATGAGGTCTATGGATTACAAACAGCCCCAGAGCCCTGAGACTAGACTGCTGAAATGCAAAATGCCCAAATCTCAGCTGCCCAATTTTGGGGTGGTTCTCTAGGGCTAAAGTGGGATAAGGGCAGAAATGAAGCTTCCTCATCCCATTTTTTTACTTTTAAACACTTAAAATTGCTCCAAACCAAGCATGTAAAATTGACATTTAAACTGTAATTAACATTGATAGAATATTTTTTTCTTTCCCTTTTCTTTTCTCAATCTTCAAAGCGATCTAAATAATAGAATGTTAATAACTTTTAAACATATTATACAAACACCAATGTACTAAAACAACACAATGTACTAAGATTTATAACGACATAATAAAAAGGAGGGGAAAAAGAAATATTTCAGCCATGCCCCTTCCGGTAACATCACTGTGTCATCCGATGATCTGCCGCAGCCCTCCAAAAGTTTGGGGGGCTACACTATCCAACCCTAATCTCATGTTCACATATTGTGCTAAAGTGTACTTTGTTTAGTTATGGTTTGTTGAACAAGAATTAACAGCTGAATTCCTATAACAAGTTAAGCCAAGCCTGACAAACCACGATCAGGTTTAGCACAATGTGCAAACTCAGCCAATGGCTGTATGCAAATTTAATTCTAACCATAGCTTGATGGCTCCTACCATTCCTATCCACTGCTGTTGCAGCTATAGGGATGCTTCCATATTGGGCTGATCTTTAAACAAGGTTAACTTCTGTTTAGGTGCAGTTCAGCTTTAATAAGATTGAAAGCTAATTAATAAAAGATATTGAAAATTTTAACCTAATTCTATGATGCTTATAAATTTCCACTTTATTCACATCATGATTTATTTTTTGTAATTTTTTCTCTTTTGCCTTTTTTCCTTTTTTCAAAAGAACACAATATTTTTTTTAAAAAATGAAAGCAACCTAGCTTCTTTGCCAATGAATAAGACTTGTTTTCCTTCAAGTATAGTTATACAGATTTCAGTTCCTTTAAGTTCAGAAAAAATAAATTGGATTTGTTTTTAAAAAACTCATCTAAGCCCTTTTTTGGCTATGGTAGAAGAGTAGCCGAAGGGCAGGGATGGTGAAGACAAAGGATGCCCTTATAATATTAAACCTGGATTCACACAGTATACTACATGAAAATGGAGAATGTCGGTTTGTGGCTTTTCATATTCTTTGAACTTAATCAGTACAGTTTATAAGAGGGGAAGGCACCTACTACTACATTTTCTCTTCCTGCTGTTTGGAACAACAAGGTATCTGGCTGGGATATTTTATTTCCTATTTTTGGCATTCAGGTGGCTTTAAGAGGCAAAATGGGTGCCCTGAGCCTTGCAGAGCCTTAAAGCATCCATCTTGCCTCTTAAACCCCTCCCCCACTGAACAAAATCAGCCCAACTGTGAGGCTATGGAAGGGTGCTATGAATGCTTTAAGCCTTTTTAGGATACCAGGCAATTACAAAACTAAAGTAACTGTGGCTTAATAAATAAACCATGGCACAGTGCATTGCATGAATACAGCCTTTGTTTTAACACTGTTTCTGAATAACGCTATTAATTCAGAAGAACGTGGCATGCTTTTGTTTCATGTGTCATATAACATACCTGATATTCCTGAGGCAACTGTTGAGGGAATTTCTGTAAATTGCACACCGCTACTGCTCTTTGGTCCTGCCTGCAGGTTAACTGTAATGGATTACTCCTCAGAGTGTCACAGTATGGGGCTACTGGTTCTTTTCTTAAGATTAAAAACAGAACAGCCATTAACATCTTATACACATGCCTCAATGTATTAATAAACATTAATCATTATGTGGAATCATTTATGTGTAAAGGCAATTTCAGGGCCATCAATGTACATGCAATCCATGTATATGATTCTTACTTTCTCCGTCTCTGATTGATCCAAAACTTGCAGCTTTTCATCACAAAGTCACAGCCTTTTCCTCGGCCCCACTCTAGTTTTTCTGCCATGCTATAGTTGGCTTTATACCAGCTGCAAAAATATGTTGAAATGGAAATGGTACTTTAGACTCCAACTTTCTGAACCATTAACAACAAAGAATCAAAAGTGTTAATAATCTTAGGAATTATTAGGTTGCAAAGAAGACATCTATGTCACGTTGCTCAAGATTCCTGGTCCTCCTTCCCAACACTCAGGCTTATTCAGTAATATATACTCCAATAGGCAAGCAAAAAATGTCATTTGTCTGTTGTTTGGGCTATAAATCATTGGTAATGTGTTGCAACAGCCAGCACAAAATCCACCATACAGACAGCTCAACTCTATCTGACTAGGTTCCCTTCCACTGGGTGCTGCTATTCTCTTCCATGTCTTTTTATGTATTTCCAACAGCGCAGGGAAATCTATGACAATTATGGCTTGTTAAGAAATATCTTGTATTGTTTCCTTACTAGGGCTTTGCAACCCTTTGGAAGTAATTTAGAAAAAAATACACCAGTTTAAGTGATACCACTATAACTACAATATATCATTTTTACCCAGTATCTTCCATTAATGCCAGAGTAATCCGGGAGAAGACCCTATTCTGTGTTTGTGATCCAGTCATTGCTTCATTCTGGAATTAACCAACATCAATAACAGTTAGCCTCAGGAAAGTGACTGAACAGAGAAACAGCCTGCATTTTGTGGGAAGCAAAGAGGTGGGAGAGAAATATAATCTTTTTGCCAATAAGGAAGCCCATTTAATTACTTTAATAATCACAGAGTAACTAGCTTTGCACAACATGTTAATCATAGTTAGACCTACTGTGACATATGAATCTGGACCATGGGATAAACTGTGGTTAAGGAGTGCCTTAATAATAATTTTGATCCATGATTGTTAGGAGATTTAAATAAATCAGACACAGCCTTTACATTATCTGAATCTGGACAGGCAAGGTAAGACTGTTAACTCAGAGTTGGGAGAAAGGAACAGCCACAGCATCTGTTGCAGTGTGTGGTTTGAAATGGCAAAGCAAAAAATATGTAGTGGCTATGACTCTGATCAATCCACTACTCTTTCTTTTAACAATGAAATAAACGATAGATAGATAGATAGATAGATAGATAGATAGATAGATAGATAGATAGATAGATAGATAGATAGTGAAATTAGTTAGGATATCAACCAGAGAAAGAAAAGGGATGGTAATATGTTACCATGAGCACTTTGTCTGATCATCTGTGGTTCAGGCCATAAATAATACGTTAAGTAATATATAATCCAAAACCTGGCACAGCATTCCATAGGAATGTATTACCCACTTCATCTTAGCCAAAGGGCCAAGATGCGATTAATGTATTCAATGTACAGAATCAGTAAAATGATTAGAAATTAGGAGTTGCTCTTGGGATATCAGGGAGTTATCTCTAAATTACATCCAGGCTTATTTTCTTATAGTAAGAAATGGAACCACAGAGCAGCTAAATGGAAGAATGGAGAATCTAAATTAAGATACTGTAGTTACTACAGTGGATGCTTCTCCTGAGTTAATATAAATTAGAAAATATAAATGAGCTTTCATTCCTGACCTGGTATATTGACAAAGATACCTGCATCTTTCATTCACATACTAAACAGCCAATTTTCTATTATTTACAGAGTAATACAGAATTCTTCTCCACAACCTTCAAAATAAAGGAATTAAATAAGTCTGGGTATGGAGGAAAAGAGTAGAATATATTCTCTGGTGGCTTTTAGTTTTTAGCTAATGATGTATATCTGTATTCATTCTGGCTTTATTGATCAATAAAAAAATCAAATAAACATCCTTGAGTCATTCTACTACTACTTAATACTAGAAATAAAACTGGTTGAGATTCCACAGTCTAAATTTTATATTGTAACAACCACACACACACACACACACACACACAATTAACTATACTAACCTCCAATAACCGTTTCTCCCAATGATTAAGTTCTGTGCCCATGCCACCTTGATTTTCAAGTTCCATTCCTTCTAAAATTGGACAGTCAAAATGTTTTTGTGCCTCCTCCTTTAGAAAGGTATTAGACAAATCTCAACATTATTTAGCAAAATATTTATTTCAACATAAAGCCTATTTCATTTTACACATAAAGTTTGTATCATATACAAAATGTTATGTTATCCAGCAAAGATTTTTAATGAGAGAACCCTGTGATGCTCTCATACTTCAGTAAAACCAAGAAATATTATTTTAAATTAACTGCACTCAGAAACCAGTGAAAGGGTATGTACTTCTTCTATGACAGATCACATAGCCTCAACCCCCACAGTATATTGTTCTGAAGCATTTAGCAGTGATTCAATTTTTTGAATTATTATAAATTACAGAGAGCAGGAAAAAACATAAAGATTAAATAATCCAAACACAACTGGAGCCTTAAAGAATTCACCATAAGGTGGAAGAAGAAGCAATATTCCACACCATCAGCGTGGCACCCAGTATCCGAAGTGGAAAAATTTTCCCAGAACCTTTTTCAGACTTAACATTATGTGGCAATTTGGATATTCCTCAATTTAATTCCAGGAGCCCTAGAAAGCACAGGGTATGATAAGGGATGCTGGCAGAACTAATTCAGCAACACTTAAAAGATTGAGAAATTTGCTTGTCCTTGCCATAGAGAATTGGGGGTGGTGGTCAGGCATTAATATACTTCCATGTTGTATGGCAGTGTTTGATGGACACTGGGGTTTGGAGAACAGGCATCTATAGGTATATTTCCTGGTTTCTCTTCTCTTGTCACTCAGAGGATCCATTAACCTCACAAGGATTTGTTTCCAAGTTAAATACATTTACAATACGGGGAAACATTTTTGTCAGAGATTGAGTAACAGGGCTGAATCTTAACGTGTACAACATAGTTTCCATTGGTATTTGCAACTAAGTGTCTAAACAACCAGATCATATTTTTGTGAAAGAAAATAAAAATAATACTTACAACTACCTTCGGAGTTACCAAAAGGAATATATTATGATGCAAAATCTTATTATTCCGCACATCCCATAATCTTACTGCTTTACGTATAACTTTATCACTCCACTGATAGACACCAAGGCTGAAAGGAAGACAATTTAGTTGATATAACTGGGAGCAGGATCAGTTCTTAATATGATCAATAAGCTGACTGCCAACTATTGAATATATAAGTAAAGTAGCAATTATAAATTCATGACAACTGACTTCCTACACAATCACCACTGAAAACTCAGCAAGCAAACAGTATTAAGCTATTTACAGAAGAACTATTTTTAATCATACCCACAAGTACCCCTTCAGTGAAATTAGTTTTGTAAGGATTACAAAAGTCAGTACATACCTTTCATTAAATGGTGGCAATCCATTTGCGTATCTAGCAGTCAAAGGATTTCCATCATCATCACGATAAAATGCAAAAAGTCCAGCGGAGAAACCCTTAAATAGAACCCCAAAAGTAGTTTACATTACATATTATCAACATCTTTCACCCACAACAAATTCTGACTGAAAATTGCCTGAAAGCTAGCTAGCTAGCTAGCTAACTAGATATACACCTCCACCCCCACATAGAGGTAGTCCTCGATTAACGACCACAATTGGGACCAGCAACTCTGTCGCTAAGCGACATGGTCATTAAACGAGACATCACATGGCTGTGACAGACTTATGACCTCACTTCTGCCATGGTCGTTAAATGAATCACCTGCAGTCGTTAAGCAAGGACTTCACGTGACCGCAACTTGCAACTTTACTGCCGGCTTCTCCATCGACTCTGCTTGTTGGAAGCTGGTTGTGAAGCGCACAAATGGCGATCACGTGACCACAGGACGCTGCGGCCGTCGTAAGTGTGAGGACCAGTCATAAAGTTACTTTTTCAGCACTGTCGTAACTTTGAACGGTCATTAAACAGGGCAGCCGTTAAGCGAGGACTACCTGTATATGAAATGTCCACAAAAACACAAAGTATTACAAAAACATAACCACAAAAATTCTAGCATAATACAGCATGAAGAAAATATTACTAATATGTTAAATTCCAAACCAAATATTAGGACAATGCTTTCTTTAGGCAACCTCAAAGGCAAGACATTGAAAAAAAAAACTGAATGGGAAAAGGCATAAAGACAGGTTGGAAAATTGGAGAGAACCAAAAAATGCTATTGATATTGAAGTTTAAATGTCCACAGTCTTGCTTTTCATCCTTTTCCTCTGGTGAACCACCACCACCTTTTCTTTTTCCTCCTCTTTTAATATTGTGCCTGCTCTAGAGATCTAGAAATTATGATATCTTGTATACTTTTTGAGTTTTTTGAGCCCTAGTACAAATTCTTGGAAATTTCTTAGAAATCTTTCTTTACAGCATTTTATAAACGCAGAATCAAATACCAGCTCTTACCAAAGCATGAATGATTTCATGTTTCACTGTAGACAACATGCCAATGAACTCCTGTGCTTGGGTTGAAATCATATTTGGACACAGGTTAGCATATCCTGCAATTGGTCTGGAAAATGGTGATAGGTTATACAAAATGAGGACCTTAAAAATGCTAAGCTTCATTATTACATGTAAATACTTTGTATTATCATAGCCTACATAAATATCTTATATACAAAAACATCTTTGGAGTAACCTTTTCACATGCAAACATCAAATCACTGAAATGTAGACTCAGAAAAGAGACAAATTATTCTCTCTCAATTTATGTACTTATGCATGGACTACTATAGCTCCTCTACAGATTTCATCTATGGACTTTCCTATCAAAAATCTATTTCTTTTCTTGAGCTTTTAAAACAGATACTCACTTTTCACTGTGCTGAGAAAAAACTCAGTACTGGTTTATATAACTAGCAATACAGGCCATATATAAGTAAGTAATCCTCACATTTAGGACTTTCTCAGCCAACAGACACAGCCTATGATCCTCAGAGGATGACCCCTAAGCAAAACATTTCTCTCTCCAGACTCAGATGTCAGGCGACAGATCTTTAACAGCTAATTAATGTATTAATTAGACTTATCATGTCTTTCCTCTAGCAATTCTAAATGGCTTACACACACTTATTCCTGATTTATTTTCCTCATAACAACCCCATGAAGACAGGAGGAAAGTCCTAGTGCAACACCACAATCATATCACTGGGCCTCAACCTTTTTGATCTGTGGGAGACTTGAGGGACTGTCTCACCCTCACCACAGTGACCTGTCCCACCCGGTCAAGCAGAGAGGGTATATTGCAGATTTGTTGGTGAGAGAATGCCGATTGACGGGGCCCAGGAGGAGAGCCTTCTCTGCCATTGCCCCTTCCCTATAGAATATTCTCCCCCAGAGGTGAGGCGGGCCCCCACCCTCCCAGCTTTCCGGAAAGAACTGAAGACCTGGCTGTGCTAACTCCCATGGGGCAAGAAGAGACTTAACCAACCCTGAGAGTGGCTGGCACCTTGAGGACACTCCCCGAGACTAATAGTTTCACCATCAATCTTGGAAGATATTTATTATTTATTATTTGTAGGACTATTATTTTATTGTATTTTAATTAATATTTATTCTTTTACTAAATCGCCCAGAGTCGCTTCTAGGAATATGGGCGATGACAAATGTGAAATATAAATAAATAAATATTGACATGATATAGGTGCTTTTGCAACAGAGTTACCAGGAGTAACTTAAAGTTTGTGGGTTACATAAGCAGTTAAACAGAACAAATGGTACCTGAATATAGCCTCACCTTGCAGGATG